TCAGAGAGAGCAACTTCAAAGCCAGAGGTAGCATTTTGCTGGGACACAGGAATCATGCTTGGAGAGACACCATCAGATAATGCCCTCTGAAGGCCAACCATTTCAGTGAGAAGCATGGCAGAGACCTGAGAATAATCAGGCTTGAGAGACTGAGAGCTCTGGACAACAAAAGTGGTGACAACTGCAGAGAAGAGACCAGCCTGAAATTGATAAAGCATCAGTATTTATACTAACTTTATATGTAAAACATACAAAGACAAGAAGGACATCAATGGTGTCCTTCCATGCTTCAACCATATCATCATCCATCATCTTGGCTTCATCAAAGTACACCTTCCAAACTCGAGCATTGGGCTTAAGGCATTGCCTGAAGTCATCAGGAGGATACTTGTGCTCATAGTCATCTGGATTGATGTATTCTACCCATCAGAAATGAGTAAGTATTTCATATCATCATATGAAGGAATTCAACATACGAGATCTCTGCACATTGTGTCTGACACCAAACATGTACCTTGTCTTCCTCCTCCCCGAAGCACGAACATCATGGGACCATACTCCGGGCTCCTCACTATCAGTGCCCTCATTGCCAAAGGGTTTGGACTCATCCCCGGACTGCTGAGACATGGATTCGTCAGAATGCCTTCTGCGCGGTGGACCATTCACGCGGTCGTCGTCGGGTCTCAGTGTAGTCTCGCTCCGCTGACCAGTTATGCCTGCAGAAGAAGCAACGGGCGGTACAAACAGATCCTCGGCGGCTATATCCAGTGCGTCTGATTCAACTGAACGACAAATTCAGTAGCAGCAAACTGCAACTGCGAAGCAGGAACGTACGCAAGCGGACGTCTTTCCTCTCAGAGGTGTCCTCCCTGCCGGATGAAGGCGAGAACGTCGCCTGCATTATCTGGCTATCGGGATCTGTGTCCGCGCAACGGGCACGAGTCGTGACAGTAGGCCGCGTCAGCTACCGATAAAGTCTTGCGAACGGCACGGGACCCTCACCTGAAGAACCGACATCCGTGCTCCATTCGCTAGCGCGGGTGCGCAACGACGGCTTCAACGAACGCCTGTCGTCTGCGTCATCGACTTCGGTAACTGACCAAACCAGAGTTGTTAGTCGAACTCAAGCCGATATACATAGCGAGAAACGTACTCGACGGCATCGTGGAATCCTAGGCTTCGTTCGCGAGTAAGGCTCGAAGAATTAGGTCGACGGGGGAGTCTATGCGGGCAACGTCGTGGTCAGAGGAAAAGAGCGAGGCTGTTCAGAGGCGGTTTGACGTGAAGCGCGAATAGTGTCTCACGAAGAACCAGAGACGCGAATAAATGCCGTGACCGCGACTGCATGCTCCTTGTGCATCGTTCGCCCGACATGGTGCCCAAATTCCTGAATGGAGTGAATGAGAGCACGAGTATCCCATTTTGGGCCTCCGCGGCACCGGCGAAATCATGTCGCCCAGTTGTCTGTTTCTCACTGTCCGCATCTTTACTTGACTGGAGACCGCATGGTGAGTGTCTCGGAGTTGCCTCTTCTCTTCGCGATTTGCCACCTCTCCGTATCGAAAGTGCGGCGGTGCGGCGATAATAAGAATTTCAAGCACATACGTCTCGTAGGTATGGAGACACCGTCAGATAGATTGGTTTCACCGTGTGCTCTTCGATATCGTACAACTTGAATATCTCGCATAGATCTCAAATACAGCCATCAGCGAAAATACACCCATGCCACTAAGACACCTACCTCAGCACAACAATTACCCTCCACAACTCACTGCTCATGGTAATAACAGCCCCTCAGATAAAACAACGTATTGTGATTCTCCCGCCCGCCTCTCTCTGGATCCACGCCCACGCCCGCACCTGCGCCTTCACCATCCTCGCGCCAGCGCCACACCGTCAGCGTCTTCCACGCATTGCCATTCGGGCGCATCCCACGCGCGACGCGCCCGTCGAGGTCGAGTACGGCGCTCTCGATCTGCGCGGCCGTCGACACCGTCACTGTGCGCAGCGCCGGGTCGTCCTCGTCGACGTCGGTGTCCATCGCGCCGGGCACGACAACGTGCGTGGGCAACGCGCGCGTGGGGCCGCGCACGAGGACGAGGGTGAGCGCGTGCGATTTCGGGTGGATGTCGTCGATCTGGGCATCCGTAAGAGACGCTGAGAGAATGGGTGAGCACGATGGGGAGAACACGCACGAAGACGTCCTTCTCGACGATGAGGTCGAGGTGGGAGAACCGCCGGCGGTAGGCGAGCACGTCGCCGGCCCGCACGATCCCGCGCTTCGCCAGGTCCTGCAGCTTCCACCCCCCGGCATCCCTGCCCACACCATCAGCACCTCTCCAAGAAATGAGAATCAGCACGGCGCACCCCGCACGCGCCCGCGCGCTCGGCTCCGGCACCGCAGCCTCGACCTCAGCTTCAGCCTCAGCGCTGGCACCGATGTCCTGATGCTCCTCCGCCCACTCCTCGTCCTTCCACGGCGCATGCAGCGTCCCCGCGCGCACGCCCGCCTCGTACTCCGCGACCTTGCGCGCGTGCGCGGGCGTCAGCCAGCCCGTGTAGAGGTGGTCCTGGAATGTGCGCAGCGCGGAGAGCGTGTGCGCGTCCGTGAAGGCTGTCGGGTCGAGCGTGTCTGGGTCGGGAGGTGGATGCGTGGCTGAGTCCGGGGGTGGATGTGTGGATGAGGAAGAAGGAAAGGCGGTGGTGGAGGCAGATGCTTGGGACGGATGGGTGGGGTGGAGGGTGCGTTTGTGCGTCGTGAACGCCGTGCGCGGGAGCAGGGTGCTGAGATGGGCGCGCGCGGCGGGGGAGAGGGCTTGCCAGGTGCTCAGGTTGATGAGGTCCTGTTCCACCAAGAATTACATCACGTCGTGCCATATTGTCGAAGACTTCGAATAGTCGTTTGTGTGGGCCACGAAAGCCGGACGAGACGTACCGTCATGTCGAGCGTCGTCAGCGCGCTCTTCGGCTCCTGCAGAAGGATGCGCAGCTGCTCATCTTTGTCTACTACCTTCGGCTTTGTCTCTTTCTTCGGAGTGGTCGATGTTTTTGTCGTAGTAGTCGGCGCTCGTTGCCTCTTAGTCCCAAAACGTGTGCCGTTCGAGGAGCTTGCTTCAGCAGCTGCGCTTGGTGTAGTCGAGGTATCTGCGCCGAGGCGTGCAGGAATGCGGGTCGAGCGCCGTGGGCGGCCAGTTGCTGTCACGTCCTCCGACATCTCAAGGGTTGATCAAGGGTTGATGGGCGGTATCATGCAAGAGAGAGGAACCTAGCAAGTGGGTAAGTATGGATGAAAGGCGGATGCAGATGGCCAGGACCGTGACTGAAGCGCGCATACCGTGAAGAAGGTACCGTGATGCCCTCTACGTCCGACCAAATATACTCTAGATACTACACTATTATGCTTACATCCTGACGTGTGCCTAGTCAAAGAGAAAGCAGTGTCACAGTCATCTTGATCGCGAGGAGGTCGACGTTTCCAAACAAACATGTTAGCGGTGTAGTGGTCAAGAACAAGACGCAGCCCGGTGAACGATCTCCATGATCGCCTTGCTTGACAGCTCGGGTTCTTCAACCTCTGTCAATTACTTCGGCAGCAGAGACGAGAACGCAGGCGATCATTGAGATTAGTAGCATACCGAATAACGAACGGAATAAGAGGTGTACCGAGTAGAACAATAGAGCCCAGGGCGAGGTATGTTTAATTACGATGGGGATTCAGTAGATTGAAAACGGGTATGTGTACAGGGTAGAACAAAACAGTATTGTGGGTAAGAGACTTGTCGGTATGTGTGTTAGAAACAATTGAGCATGATGATAGAAGAAGGAATGTGGCAGAGCATTGTGCGAAGCGTCTACGGAAGCGCGCCTCCGTCTAGACGTGCGCCCTTGCATATCAGTTGAGAAATGAATGGATGATGGGATTGAGTTGATCTTCGGTCTCTGTGCGGTCAATCAGGCGTGCCGGGGCCAGGTCAGACTGGAACCACGGAGGTAGGCGCGCGATAGCAATCGTAGCAGGTGGTCGAGTCGCTATTGCAAAACACATCGCAGAAAGTCAATTACTTGATTCATACAGACAACATGAGGCCGGACTGAACATACCTCTGTGGAATCTCCACACAGCAGGAGCGGCAGACGACCCGCCCACAGCCAGGAGTCCAGCCCTCGGCGTCGTGCTTCTCCTTCGCGATGGCTTCATCTTCCTCGTCATCCTGGAATTTGCGCCGACGAGTCACAGCGGCATTGGTATTGCTGTGGCTCAGAGCCACACGCCGGGGTGACGCCGAGGGGGTCGTGGGTGGGGTCGGCGAATGTGAGAGCACTGGTGTGGGCGGATAAGAGGGCGGCGCAGAGCTGCAGGTGCGCGAGCAGACGGTACAAGTCGCTGCGTTACACCTATGATATATTTCGGAGGATCAAAGTCCATCAATCATTGAACGCCGGCGCAATGCGTAGGCGGAACGCACCTTGCGCACGAGACGCTCTGGCCGGACTTGCCGTTCAACAGGCGGTGGCAGGACGAGCAGCTCACGAGCTTGTTGACTTTCGGCAACGGGTCGGGGTGAGGAAGGGGCGTTGTTGTGACATGGAGGCCGTGCAGGAGGCCTGGCGAAAGCCTGCGCCGTTTGTGGGGATGCTCCTTCAGCGTCGGATCAGGCATGCCTGCAGTATTGGTCTCTGTATGAGCTCGCGTCACTGTGAACTGGACTGCGTTGACTTACGAAGAGCAGAGGGGAGGGTGGTGGGCATGATAAGGAGGAATAAACAAGAATGTGGACTGTGAAGACGCACCAGGGGTGGTGGACCGGAAAGACGCCTTTCACGGCGGCGCTTTATTAGCGAAGGCCACAAGCGCTCGTGTGCCGCGCGACATCAAGAACTTTGCCGCTGGTCTTTGAGTATGGGCATAATCAGTCCATACAATATTAATATTGGTAGAATGGAATGTGCAGCTGCCAGCTGCAGGTACATGCAAAAAATAGAACAGGGGCGAAAAGCACTACGCCGAAGGGGAGTCGAACCCCTGCCGCTTGCTACCGACGACCTGACAAGATCATGGAAGGCAAGCATGATAACCGCTTCACCATCGGCGTATGTGAAAAGGAGCGTATTGAGAAACAAGTCTTGAGCGGCGCCTCTTTTGAGGTAGAGCCTACTGTTTCTATACTGTAATAGGATAATACGAGTGTCGAAGAGATGAAAGGGGGCAGCTGCCAAGCATCGGAATCGAATCACTGTCAGACGAGTGTCAAAGTAACTGCTAAGTAGCTGGGGAATAATATTATGTACTTATCATACACAAATATGAGCCCACGGCTGGGAAAGCAAGGCGCGAGCGTTCGGCAGGCGGCAGCATACCTCGACCCGCTCCTCGACCTCCAGGATCGCCAACAGCGGCAATGTCGATACAGCATTTCGGCAAAGGCGCCCTTCGCGTCGCCAAAAACTACACCAAAGGCTACTCGGATGTGCAGGCCAAGGTGCGCGAGGCCACGTCCAACGACCCGTGGGGCCCGTCGGGCACCCAAATGAACGAGATTGCGCAGATGAGCTACAACCAGTGCGTATCCTACTTACCGAGACCTCGTCTTTGGCATTGATCTAGCACGCTGTGCTGCTACTTGGGTGCTGAAGGAATGACTTCGTGGAGATCATGGAGATGCTGGACAAGCGGCTGAACGACAAGGGAAAGAACTGGCGCCACGTCTTCAAGGTCCCGCCTCCTTGCATTCTGTCTTGCTTGCGCTCATTCGTGTCTCTCTGCAGTCCCTGACAGTCCTAGATTACCTCCTGCACGCCGGTTCGGAGAATGTCGTGATCTACTTCCGCGACAATATCTACGTTGTGAAGACGCTCAAGGAATTCCAATACGTCGACGAGTATGGCAAGGACCAGGGCGCAAACGTGCGGCAGAAGGCGAAGGATATCACGAATCTGCTGCAGGACGAGAGCCGTCTCCGGCAGGAGCGGCGTGCCCGCTCCTCGATGCGGGACCGTATGCTGGGCCAGCCGGGCGACGACGAAGACGAAGACGAGAACGCCCTCCGCCGCAGTCGCAGCGAGCCCCGCCGCCCGCCCCGTGACGAGGACGAGCTCCGGCGTGCGATCGAGGAGAGCAAGCGCTCGCTGGCGCAGGAGCAGGCGAAGGCGGGCGAGGACCGGGATCTCGCAGAGGCTATCCGGTTGAGCAAGGAGGAGGAAGACAGGCGAGCTCAGGCTGTCACAGACTCGAACGCGTCATCCTTGTTCGACGAACAGAACCAGTATGTGATATTTGACCCGATCTCTTGCGCCAACTCTGACGGTGGCGCCTCCCAGGAACAACAATCTGCTCATCGACGCTGGCGCGCAGCAGTTCCAAGGAGTTCAACCACAGTTCACCGCCGTGCAGCCCCAGTTCACATCATTCAACCCGTACCAACAGCAAGCGCAGCAGGAGGCGATGCAGGTGTGTTCCCCGGATTGACGCCCCGAGCGGATCAAATTGACGCGTCCCTTCGTGTGTCATCCAGGCCGAGTATCTGCGCCAGCAGCAGGATTGGGCTCGCCAGCAGCAGGAGGCCCAAGCCCAAGCCCAGGCTCAGGCTCAGCTGCAGGCGCAACAGGAAGAGTGGCTGCGCCAGCAGCAGCTTCTCCAGCTTCAGCAGCAGCAACAGCAGCAGGCGCAATACCAGCAGTTGCAAGTACCCCAGCAGCCTCTGATGCCGCAACAGACTTCCTTTGGGTGCGTTTATCCGCTGCTTGTAATACTTGTCACGTAGCTAACCTCTTTGCTCTTGTCTGCCAGTTCCAACAACCCCTTCGCCCTCTCGCAACCCTCCGTGTCCCCCTCCTTTTCTCAATCCCCATCTCCCCACCCACCCAGCTCCTCACTCTCGAATTTCAACCTTCCCTCAACATACGAGAACCGTTCGCCAAGCACGAACCTATCGTCGTCCGTCTCTCCCGCTCCCTCTTCCCACTCCCAGCAGCCTGCGCCCTCGCCAAGTCGCGGGCCTACAAGAGCGGACCAGGAGCACGCACACCTTGCGAACCTGTTCGCCGCGCCACGCGACGACGGTATCGATACCTTTGGTAACTTTGGTCAGCTTCGGTGCGTATCGTCTCTTTCTTTTCTGTGGGCCCCATACGGGTTTGGGCTGTTGTCACGTGATTTGACAGAGTGGGCATCTCGGATGCCTGCTCGTGTCCACGAGCGCGCCATACCTGGTTACACATATTGCAACTGTCCGCTGACTCTGTCTCCACAGTTACGGCCATACCGACGCGGGCCGTATCGTCGCACAGAAGACGGGCGCGCCCCATTCGAACTTCAACCCCTTCGCGGCGCAGCAGCAACAGCAACAACAGCAGCACCAGCAGAACCCCGATCAGCCCTTCTTCTCCATCTAAGGCCTCTCGCGCTCGTGCCCCCGTCTGAAAGTGCAGCCACCCCCCGTCTCTTCCCGTATTTCTTATTCTCGCCTTTGGTTAAGTACGCTCTCTCCTTTCCTTTCCTTTCCTCCCTGAATTCCCGTCCGCGCACCATCCGGTCACATGACAGACTATGCCATACGTCCTCTCCTTATTTGACGCCTTCCCTGTGTCCTGTTTCTGCTCCGCACTATACTTGCGCCCCCGTCTTCGTCCCCGTCCCCGTCCTATCTTATACCCGCTCGTTCCCGCCGATATTCAAATAAGACCCGGTATGTACCAGTCAGTGTAAATTCGCAAAGACTTGAGGGGTGGAGGCTCTGAATGCAAACACGAACACGAACTACGCATAGACCGACACACGGTGCGCGCCTCGACGTCATTGCGGCCGACGCTCTGGTTCTGTTTATATCTCGCCTTGCCTTGTGAGTGTCGGCGTGAGAGCGGGTGGGGCGTGTGTCAGGCGACCAACACCGTGACTGTACGTCTTCCTCTGTTCTCTATTCATTGCCAGGCGACATGCGACGTCTGCCACTGCCATTGCCACCGTCGCCGCGGAGCGCACCATGTGAGTGCAGTCGCGTTTCCTGTTGCCACTTACTCACCGTTGTCATCCCGAACACAGCTCCGCACTCAGTCTCCGTGCGCTCATAGCTACAGGTCATCATAGTCGGAAGCACGCCCACCCCGCACACCCTGATCCCTGCAGCCTATTCCTGATCCGCACCTATATCCAGCCCTGCGCCCTCCATCTCCCGACCCGACTGCCGAAATCTGCATCTAAGCTCTAATCTGACGCCTTACAGGTGAGATCTGGACCCGTACGTTCTCACCGTGTAGAATGTGGGGCACGCCACAGATGGGATACAGCTCCCGCTTTGAATGCTGGAAGGCCGAGGATGTCCCAGATATACGCGTCCTCCTTTCGACGCGCACACGCGTGTACGGTCGTGACTGCAGTGTGTCTGTGTGTCTATGACGCGCTTGTCCGCTGACTGTGTGTTGGCGCGCCCCGGTATGTTGTCGGTGCATCCAGCCTTCTGCAGATGCATGCGGCACTGGTTCTTTCTTTTGAAGCCCTCTGTTATATGCGCGTGGCGCTATGGAGTGGTGGGGATCGTATACCTCAGATCGCACGCGGATGTTCTCCTCTGGCTTGAAGCGCGTAGGCACCAGTGGCAGCAAGGCCGGGGATAAGGACAAGGATGTCAGGGTCGAGGAGATCCGTAGCGTTGATGTTTCGGAGGAGCCTGAGCTGAGGGATGAGAAGGCGAAGATCAAGGTTCCGAATAATGGTTCGTGCTATTTCTTGGGGCTCTGCTTCACTCGGGTCTTGCTGCTGATGCGATTTGTTGCATGCAGCCGATTATGCTGCTGCTGTAGAGCAGGGCCATATCAATCCGTTTACGTGGTCGGCGTTCGTGCTGTATATGTGTACGCCAGTTCCCCCAGCCAATTTCTGTTCCGTTGAGACTCATAAAGGCTGATATTAGGCTGACAGGTGCCGGCGTGGCCTTCTTGTGCTCATGCGGTAACGGGTGTGTGCATAGCGCCAGGTCCGGCCCGTATTGCGCCGCTGACGAAGGGTCGACGTTCAGGTATGATGGAAGCTTGATGACTGCTATCAACGGCATGCCCTTGTAAGTGTACCTGGCGGGCCCCGAACTGTCGACGATGGCTGAGGAGTTCTGGCTGCTAGTTACGAAAGGAAGTTCAACCAGGGTATGCAGTTTGAGTGCGTGTAGTCGCTCTGGAGAACTCACTTTGATTTTTTAGGATCTCTCGATGTTTCGACTGGCCTCATCTTTTCGATTTACACAGTATTTTGAACAATTTACGCTAACAGCTGGAAGAACTGCTGATTGCGTCGTCAGGTTGGTCAAATGTGCGGATCCCTGTTTGCAGGGCAGCTCTGCGACCGGTGAGTCTGCCGACCGACTCTTTGCATGAACAATTTATAAATCGAGAAATGATAGATTCGGTCGTCGCTCCGGCATGTTTGTTGGTGCGTATATACGCTGCATCATCTATTGTAGTCGACCTTGAGCTTTGTACAGGCTGTGTAATCATCATAGTCGGCGCCGCAACGATAGCGTCGTCCGAGGCCAAGCGTCAAGTGCGCCATCTCACGAAGTCAGATGACCCCGCAGAGCTAACAAGCAGACCATCTAGTTCGTCGCCGGGCGCTTTGTCCTCGGTTTTGGCATCGCCATTGCGACTATCGGTGCTCCGACATACACCGTCGAAGTTGCGCCCCCTCAATGGCGGTACGTCTAATATACGAGAAGTGGTACGATGCGGATGCCATAACGCATGGCGTTCTCCAGCGGCCGGTTGACCTCCCTGTACAATACGGGCTGGAATGGCGGTGCTATAGCAGCGGCTGCAATTACGCTCGGCACGCAGAGAATTCAGAGCGATTGGAGCTGGCGGATACCCCTTATACTTCAGGTGCGCTGCACACTGAATGTCTCGTGGCTCCATGCAACAGACTGATGTGGCGTGACAGGCTGCCCCGGCGTGTGTTGTCGTGTGCACTGTATGGTCCTTGGTCAGTCGACCCGGTGTCTTGTTATTTATTGTATACGCCTCGTGTCTGATGCGGATGTCGATGTGTTTAAAACGACACAGCCTGAGAGTCCGAGGTACGCGTGTCATTCTCGACTACTCCAGGCTTCGC